ATGATGGTTTCCAGGTTCATCCATGTCCCTACAAAGGACATGAACTCATCGTTTTTGATGGCTGCATAATATTCCATGGTGTATATGTACCACATTTTCCCTATCCAGTCTATCATCGTTGGGCATTGGGTTGGTTCCAGGTCTTTGCTATTGTAAACAGTGCTGCAATGAACTGGGCGAAGGATATGAACAGATACTTTACAAAAGAAAATAATCCAAAATTTAAAACACCTCTGGTCTCAAGATTTCAGATAAGGGATACTCAACATGTATTATTCTTTTAGAAGTTACCTTAGATTATAATATGCAGCTTTGACTTACTGCAGTCTATCTTAAATTCATTAGTTTAACATTTCCCAACTAATGCAAGGATCCCGCAACATTTTAATGCCATTTATCATCTTTTGCCCTTATTTATTTTGTCAGATATTTTACTTGTGCATATGTTAAAATGCTCCCAGACCTATTGTCTTCTTATAACTTTCTATCTATACTATATGGTACTTTTTGTTTCTTTTTTGTACTCCTGTGCTTCCATTTGGATTTTTTTCTTCAGCTTAAAATTATTTCTTTAGTACTTCTGTGGTTCAAGTCTGCTTTTGCCCAGTTTTCTCAGCTTTCGTTGCCTGAAATGACTGTTTTACATTAATTTCTGAGAAATTATGGTGCAGAATTCTAGTTTGCCAGGTTTTTTTTAATTAAGCATTCATTCCATTGTTTTCCAACTTTCATAGATTTTGTTGAAATATTTGCTGACAAATAAATATATTATTGCTTTGTGAAGGCAGTGCCTTTTTTCACTTAGCTGACTTTTGTCTTTGCTTTTCAGCAGATTAATTGTGTGATTTGCCTACATGTGGATTTGAGGGTTTTCTGAATGTGCTTTGCTGTTGTTATTTTGTATTTATTCTACTTGGGTTTTACAGAGCTTCAATATGTAGGTAGATATCTTTTCATTTGGTCATGAAAATTACCAGTCATTACATCTTTCCCTATTATTTTCTCTCCTGTTTTTTTTTTTTTTTTTTGATGACTCTAATTACCTATGTCTATGTAATTTTTATGTACCTTTTTTTCTGTTTGGATTTTTTTTTAATTGTCTTATCTATAGATCACTAAAATAGTCTTTTGCTACATCCACTATGTTGTTAAGCACATCTGGTGATTTCTTGATTTCACACATGGCATTTTTTAGTTCTGGAATATTTCTTTGATTTTTAAAAATAGAATTCAATTTTTGGCAAAATTTTCTCTTTTTATCGATTATCTAGATATGATGCTTTATATTCTTGAACATATTATATCAGTTAAAGTCTATATCTTATAAATACACTTGAATCCTATGTTGAATATGTTTATTGTTTCCTACCCCCACTAGCCCAACTTAATTTTCAGAGAGAGAATGAGAGAGAGAGAGAGAGAGAGAGAGCGTGTGTGTGTGTGTGTGTGTGTGTGTGTGTGTGTGGGCAGGTCTCATAATTTTTAAACTGATGCTACATATGTCTAGAATAGTGTGGAGGCTCTGGGTGATGTTATGTTTGTCTAAACTAGATTAAGCTCTGTTCAGAAGACAAATAGAATCTAGCATATTCATTTGATCTTATTGAAGCTTATTTTTCGGCTTTGTTAGGGCTGGTATCTTTTGGATTTGTCCTTATTCCAACACATGTTCACCTAGAGCCGCTTTTTTTTTTTAATCGCATTTTAGGTTTTGGGGTACTTGTGAAGAACATGCAAGATTGTTAGATTGTTGCATAGGTACACACATGGCAGTGTGGTTTGCTGCCTTCCTTCCCCCACCCCTTTTTTTTTTGTATCTTAAATCCTGACTTGTTTACTAGACCCTTTCTCCATAGAAGGGCTTTGTCTCCAGCCTGTCTTCTCAGCACCAAACAGCTTATTCGCCTCCTACCTGTTGTTTTCTGCCATTTCTTTTAGTGGTTGGGTGGTGTCTTATATTTCATAAGCAGCTGATGGATCAGCCAGTGAATTGAGGGGAATTTGTATATAGATACATGAGTTCCTTCCCTGGAGGTCACTCCTTTATGGAGTTCTGTCTCTTAAATTCCATCTGCTTTGAAAATCCTGAACTACTTCTGCCTCTTAACTCCTCATAAGACTGGCACTTTATTCCTTCATTCTTGGGTTCTATTTTCTTATGTCATAATTTGGAAAATTGCCTCAGGAAAAAAGCAAGATGTCTGTTGTGTGCGTTCCTTCTCTTGAGGAATGAAACCTCCAAGACCTGCCTGTATTGTTTTCATCATACAGGGAAACAGCTACTGCACCTAGGCCTGAAGAGAAGTGTAGAGGAGTGGATACTAGAACCTTGAGAGATAATAAAGGGCAACTTTGAAAGAAGTGCAGTCTTTGGTCAAGTGACACAGATATCCCAAGGTGATCTCACATTCAATTCTTAACAGCTAGCCCTCAGCTAGAATCCAGAAGGCAAGAAAACACATTAATGTATTCCATACAAGTCGACTTAGCAGGATGAAGATCAGGATGGAAAAGCTTGTAGAGTTATTTTTGAGGGAAAAGTAGAAGATACCTGGCACAGTTGACACCTTCATTCCTTAGCATTGTGCTCTCTTCCTTCCTTTGGGGAGAATGTTTGTGTTCCTAGCAAAGGAGACACATGAAATCCCATTAGTTATTATATCATTCATTATAGGGTAATGTCAATTCAACAATACTTTTCCTGAAATCTAAAATGTTAGGTACTGCCAGTGTTCTTCACATAAAGAATATGAGACAATTTCAAGTCCAACTTGACATTGTAAAGTATAAAAATGGAGAAAAACAAAACTGCCCAAGTCTCATCTCTGCTTCAATAGTTAGTCATGAAAGTTGGTTAGTACAGCTGCATTCTTCCACAATCCTTTGCATGTTCCCTTTTACTCTCTGCCGTTACTTTGGATGGGTGGCATTATTTACCTGGTGGTATACTCCGTATTCTCACTTCTGTGAAATTTGATGTTCTTGAATTTTGGTGAATTTTACAGTTTTTCATTGACCAATACTACTGAGGATAGAGAGTTAACAGATGCCCCACTGAATTTCTTGGATTCCAAATATAGCATTATCTATTGTGTAGTCATTTCCCAGTTCAGTAGAAGGCACTGAATTTCCCCCTTTTCATCAAAATCAGTCACCCTGCTCAGTATAGTGGTCCTTTACGTGTTTGTTGATTTAGCTGTATGAAGAACTCCTAAATGACCAAAAGGTAGTCTCAGCCGTTTCATCAGTTTTCTGGTAGAAGTCAAAGTTCCTGGTAGAAGAATACCTCATTGAGCACTGGAACCTTAAAACTGACCAAGATACAGTTTAATGGATGAGAAGTGAAAAAAAAAAATCTTCCAAGTGAGATATTTAATGAGAAGGGTCCCTTTTACTCCTTGGTAGTTTTGAAGAGAGGAAGGACTCCTTCAAAACTGCTTAAGAGGCATTGTGGTTGCCCATGTATGTTTTTAATTGTACATTGATAACTTTTGTTCCCCTTTGTTCTCTGTCTGGGATCATCATCATCAAAAGGATCTAGGTAATAATCATAATCTTTATTGTTTCTATAGCAACTAAGTGCCACAGCCATTTGACCTTACAACATCTTGCCTTCCACTGCGTTTCATCCCATGCTACCATTGTATAGGTGATCAGTCAGAATGGTGGGAAAAATTACAGACAGGCACAAACCTTGGAAAGCTAAAAGGTTTTGCAAAAGCCTCGGGAGAGAGTTATGGCTGAAAGCAGCCTAATTCTCTTACCTTCAGCTAATAGCAAAGAGCAGATAACGAGGGAATGTAGAAGAGTTTATTTAATAGCTTGTTGTCCTAAGACCGACCTTTGATCATCTGGGGCAGAACTGCTCTCTACTGGAGGGGTCAGCAATGTTAATTACCCACTAATGGTGTTTACTCGATGAGACCCTTTTCATTAAATCTGTACTAAATACATGTGGAACCTCCCTAGCTGATCAGGGGCAGCACGGCAGGACGAGTTATTTGACAGTGCGAAAGCAGTGCAAAAGCTGCATTGTCAGCTAAAAACCTGTGTCAGAGTAATTTTTCATCCGTCACTTGGCCAGAGTCTGCCAGCCAGAATCAACACCATTGATGACAAGTTGAGTAATAGTGATGCTAATACCTCCCATAGATTTCCCATGTCCTGTTATCCTTGTGTTTCTTGAATATGAACAACCCAGTCCCAGAATCCTATTTTGAGGGTCTGTTTTCTCGGGCTATTTCTGATACAATTACTGTATCTGAGTCCCAGCAGGAAACAGATGGCATACTCAAGTAAAAGGAGATTTTAATAAAAGGACTATTTAAAAAACTATGGTCAGAGTACAGAGAAACTGCAAGGGATGGTATAAATACCCTGGAGTTGCTAACAGCAAAAGTACAACCCTCCCTAGGTTTAAAGAGAGACGTGGAAGGGAAGATTACCAAAATCACTTAGAAGGAAAAAGTATCCAGAGTGCCACCTTGAGGTAATCTGGGTTCTTTGGTTGAGAGGCATAGCCATCCTGAGTCTACTCCAAAGGAGGGAGTCAGGGGAATCTCTTAAGTTCCTCAGAGCTCTGACCAGGGTTCCCCAGTGGCAGGACACAATGAAAAGCCAAAGGGCAGGGAAGACCTTTGATATAGGCGGTACAAGTGAGCCTCCTTAGGGCAGAGGGCAAGGTGTAAGATAATAGACAATTCGTCGCTACACCAAATCTATGAAGAGTTTCAAGAATGTTTGTGTTTGGCATTTTCTTTAAGAAGAAGGAAAATATAATCGGCTAAGAGATTTTCTCAGACCAGAACTAAAGGTCTGATCAACTTTTGAAAGGACAAAGCAAGGGCTTTTGAGAAGTCTACATCTTGGTTCTACATATTTCTTCAGGGGAAGAGTGACTTTCGTAAGCATCTTAGCCATCCTATAGTTCACACAAGTAACTAAGAAATATTTCAGTGCTTACTGTGTGCTGTTTCCAAAATAACAAATATCCAGGCTTGTTTATATTTATCAAATTTATTAAATAGTTTTATTAACCAATCTACATAGGCATTATATTTAACATTGAACATAATAATAAATATTTTGGGATAAATAAGTGAAACCATTTTAGCCCCTAGGGCTTACAAAAAAGAATCTTAAAGATCCGTATTTATAATCTTAAGAATAATAGTTACAATAGGTAGCAAACCATACATTCAACAATAAATATAAAATTTAAATATATAAATAAATAGAAGGCCTGTTATGTATTAAATGGGAAGCACTTCATTGTCAAGTCAGTGTTGAGATGATGCTTTGACAAAAGGTAATCCATCCATTCAAAAATTCTATAATGGTTGCTGTGTCATCATCATATTCACATGTGAAAGTTGTTTCAGATCCCTATAAAAGGAAAATTTTAACTTTTTAAAGTACAAAGTAGTTTACCTTATACATAGTTATTCCCTATTGAAGTCTTAATAGGCCTGTCACCTTTATTTTCAAGCATAACAAATGTATTATTCATATTTTCTTGAAATGATCAAAATTATGTGCTAAAATTACATATTTTGTTATGATACCAGATGATAGTAACATAGAAGCTGAGATTTTCCTCATTTGTTAATTCAGTCAATGAACACGAAAAAATTTTCCCAATTGGGTGCAAATAAACATTTAAATAAAAACAGACCTAGACAAATACTAAACGATGCATGTGAAATAAACTTGACCACTTTTCCTCTGAGTATGTATCTGTATCTATGTAAGTTAAATGTATGAATTGATATGCACATTATACTTTCTTCTTTGCTAAATCTTGATTTAGAATCTCCTATTTTTCTACTTAAGTGAATCTCCTTATATTTTCCTCAAAGCAGAATAGAACTAACCCAGAATAAGCTAAGCCTTGCTTCTGTTTGGGAGAAATTTGAAAAAACAGCTTCATAAATACTTAAACTTACCCCCACCCCATCATAGTATCAATGCAGGTGAATTTACCACCTTTTAAAAGTTTAAACATTATAAATTTTGTTCTATGGACTTTTTAGAAATTAGGCTTCTCTGCTGAAAAGAGCTATTTAATGCTGCCTCTAGTTGACAAGCTAAGAAGGAAATATTTTTATATATAGTGAGATTTAAAAGAGAGATTTTCAAATTTGAAGTGATTCCTACCCCGGGAACAAAAAACAAGTGAGATTAGAGTATTCCCTTTAAATAAGTATTCTCTTTAAATAAACTGTTATAGTGTTATATACCCAATTAAGCATAATTATTTAAATATTATAATATCTTGGTTTTTCTTATTTTAAAAAGTACTTGGCTTTTGAAACAGTTTTCAGATTTTCATAGTTTTGTCTTAAATTTGTATCTCAAGAGTTGAATGAGTTGTCTGATGTTAATGATTTTAGAATAAACCTCTTGGCTTAGATAAGGGACTAAATCTGTCTAAGTCCAGATGACCGTTATCTCAATGTATTTTTTTTTAATTCAACTGAAACCGTCTGCTAATAAGTGACTCATTTGGAAACAACTGGAGTTACTTTCAGAAATGTGTTTCTGTTACTGTAATTATGCTGTTTAGGATACCTATTAATGCATGAATTTTGTATTTTAGTAGGTGGAATATGAAAAGGGAGAAGTGAATGTGTTTTATATCACCTTAGCCCCTTGCATGTTTTGCGCTTCCTGTGCATTTACAAATACTTGAGCTTCTGAAAGGGGATTGCCTCTAAAAAGGTGGTTGTTTTTCTAGTCCACTGGCAATTTTCATGGCTGCATTTTTTTTTTAAGAAAAATCTTTTATGGATAGTCCTCCCATCAAATGATAGGGAAACACCTTTTGAAAAGCCTTTCAGGTGATCAGTATTGGCTTTTTCCAGTAATGTTCTGAAGGAATTGAAAAATGTATAATGAAATCTGTCTGCTTTCTGTGAAATTCAATTCAGTACCTTCTCTCAGTTTTGTGTTAATGTGAGAGGTGATGGAGTTTGGGATGAGGCTTGTCCTTTAGTGGATGGTAGGTGCAAACTCTATACTCCCCAGTTTATTATCTAACATTAGAAATGATTCATGTTCACAGTGTACCTAAAATGTAGGCCAGTTACATGCATGGATACTTTACAGATACCAAAAATGTTATGTTACTTAAAAATGTGATACTTTTCCCCTTCCTTTTTTTTTTTTTTTTTTTTTTTTCTGATTTCCAGGAGAGTAAATAAAGTAATGCCTTACCTTTAGTTCCAGAACTAGTACATTGATATTGCTGATTATATCCCTGGTATCTCTTAAGTGAAAGTTTTTGCTCTGAGCTAAATTTAGCACTTCCTCCAGAGGTTTGAGTTCTTCTTCTAGACACTGAAGATGTTTCAATTCTGTGGCCTAGAATAATAATTATCATCAGCTTAGTTTACACAGAGATCAGAATCAGAAACTAATCTCTAATTTATTTTATTTGGAGTTGCAGTATGGAGTTTTTACCATTCTCTCTGTTCTCAGTATCACTGTAAAGATGGACCAGTAGAGTTTAAATTATAAAACTGGAAAAACTAGGGCTCAAGTACCTATGACTAGCATTAAGTGAGAGTCAACTCATTAGTTTTAGCTTAATTTGGCTTTGCAGCATTTCTGCATCTAAACGCAAATTACAGATGTAGGCTGATTACTTTTTCAGTCCACATAGAAATCATTAGAACAAATCAGTCAGAATGTGGAAGTATAAAAATCACATTCTATGATTCTAATATTTGATAATCTAAGAGTTAAAAAACACAGAATGTTAAGAGACTGAAGGAGCTCTTGGATGCCATCTATCACAATCCCGACATTTTATATTAGGTAACTATAATCATGTAGTAGTGGCTCTCAATATAGCCTGGAGCAAGATACATTTAAGTGACTTAAATATTTACTTTTCTATGATCACTACATTAAGATGCATTTAAAAAATATTAGTTCTAATGAAATTAAAGATTATAGTATTTTGAAAAACTTTTGGACAGGCCTCTTGATTCTATATTATATGTAATATTTTATGATTATATGGTATAATATAAAAGAATTTTCTCCAAAATAGGCTCATTTATGTCTCAAAGCCATCTTTTTGAAGTAGGCAGTGAAGTGTCATCTCCATTTTATAAATAAGGATAGTAAAGCTCAGTATTTGGCCACAAAAATAGGTAGATCCAGGATTAGATTTCAGTTCTTTCTTAACATAGCATCCATGGAATCAATGTTTTTTATTAATTTCCAAAATCTTTTGTAAATATGCAGTGAAAGTTAAATGAACAAATGAATAGAGTTTATCATTACCTTTGGTTTCAAACTATTAGGTTTCAGTGAATTCTACCACCCCCTAAATTATGCACATAATCTCATCTTTCTAACAATCTTCACTGGGAATGGTAGGACTAGACAATACAGATGCCCTAGTGTGTCCATCTATTGCTCTTTCAGTTCACCACTACACATTCTACAAATTCATGGCTTCCATTTTTGTCATGAACTAGTGTCTTTTATATTGCTGGAGTTGTGTTATGTGGCTCTGATTAAACCAGAGAAACATCTGTAAGCTGTCTCCTTTACATCTTTCAGAATAGTAGTTTGGAGCAGATTTCCCTTGAATTAATAGAATTTGGTCAATGGGATTGCATCTGTGTCCCTTTAAATCCAATTATTTTCTGGGCTTGGATTCACCCTGGCACAGGCCCTTTCTGACACCAAATTTTGTTTGTTCTCTCTTAACTGGCACAACTATTAGGAAGCTTTACACACCTAATGTAGCCTAGGAGCTTGGATGATTGTGCTCTATCTGAATCCAAATACAACCAAATGAAGCTTTTAATCTTAGAAAGTAAGTCATATAGCATTATAAGTCTCAAATTCTATTGATAAAAGAAGATATTTAAGTCCAAAATTTTACTTTGTATTTCCCAATGAGAATTTGATCTTTGACACTACTAATATTAGCTAATGCTTGCATGGTATTTATCATATGCCAGACACGGTTCTGAGAGCTTTACATTTACTTAATAATCCTCACAAAACTATGTTAAGTATATACAATTATTAATTTAAGTAGACATGAAACTAAGTCACAAAGAGAGTGGGTAATTTGCCAAAGCTCACGAAAGCTAGGATATGGCAGAGCTGAGATTTCACTTCAGGTATCTGGCCCAGAGTCTATGCTATTAGTTAGTGTTATGCTGCCTCTCAAACACTTAGTAATCTTTCCTAAAACAAGAAAAGATTTTTTAAAGTGGGCTCCTTGGAAATAGATTTTGATATTTTACATACTAAAATGACATAATCAAATATTTAGAGTTTTATATTTTTAAATAAAACCATAAATCATTTTTGTTTAAAATTGTCCTATCAATAAAGTGAGAATATTAATTTTACGTTTTCTTCCTACTGCCACCAACACACAAATATATACAAAAATACAGTTAAACCATTTTAATAGAGGCTTCATTATCAAACTTGGGTTTTCAAAAAACAGAAATTAAAGTTACTGTTTTCCTCAGATGAGGTGCCATTAATCCCATCTGTGCAAATGCTGACATTACTTTGAATTTTATTAAAATGTACGTTGAATGTAGAAAATTATACTTACCTTCTTAGGCAGGTAAAACTTAAAGGTGAGCATCCTGGTGAGTTTGGGATTCTTGTAATTCTAAGAAAGTATAATGCATTGTTATTAAGAAATGAACTCCATCTGGATTACTAAATGTAATAATTTTAGTAAGGAAGGAAATATACTTACATTAATTCCATTCAAAAGCATCTGTAAGTCCAGCAGTAAATGCTCCAGTTGTAGCTGTGTTTTCTTTGTAGAACTTGAAGTAGGTGCACTGTTTGTGATGAGTGCAAGACTTAGTGCAATGCAAGACAGGAGTTGCATCCTGTACATTGTGGCAGTAGTTGAGGTTACTGTGAGTAGTGATTAAAGAGAGTGATAGGGAACTCTTGAACAAGAGATGCAATTTATACTGTTAATTCTGGAAAAATATTATGGGGGTGTCAAAATGTTTTACATATTACACATATTTTCAAAGACTTTACCTGTCTGAAAAAACATTACCTTCATTTTTCCTCTTCTGATGACTCTTTGGAATTTCTTTAAACCCCCGAAGACTGACTGAATGGATGTAGGTGAAATCCCTCTTGGTTACATTAGCCCACACTTAGGTAATAGTTCTAATTCATGCAATTAACGCCTTCTGTATGAAACAGTTTTTCCTCCTTTCTTTAAGGGGGTGGGGATACAAAAGTAACTCATGAAAATTTTCTCTTTGTCATAAAACTACACTGAGCATGTGAGTAGCATATTGTGGTGGACAAGAGCAAGAGTAAATAGATGAAAAGAATAAATGTTTAGATTTGTTGATTAAACAGGAAGTGTATTGGTTTCCTGTTTCAGAATGGTTTTACCTTTTTATCTACACAATGAGCTAATTGCATACAATAAGATAGATTGCTTCTTACATGTCAGCTAGAGAAATATTAAGATTAGAATACATAAAATGCTTATTAAGCTTGAGGCACTTTTACGCTGTTTTAATTTTAAAATGTTTATCTGTTTAAGTCTTTTAATGTCTGTTGTGCACTTTTTAAAGGGTGTGATAAATACTCAGAAAAAGGTTTGTATTCAAGGATACTGATGCTAGTTTTATAGTGGACTTTATATGTGTTATATGTAAACCAGTCGATGTTTCTCATTTTTATGTCTTTACCTCTTTAATGGATTTTGATTTATCCTCTAAATTACCTGGGATACTATGAGTGTAACAATAATAATTATGAAATATCATATTTCTTTTAGTCAGCATACTAGGACATTTAGGATATATGTTCATTCATCCTCAGTACAGTGCACAAACTGGCTAAACAATGGTACGGGTATATACTTCTATTTAACCTGGGGACACAAGCTTCTGTTCTACCTCCTTATTTATTTTTTACCTGGCTTTTTTTTTTTTTTAAGACGATATTGCCTGTGTTTTTGATTTTTTTGTTTTGTTTTGTTTTTTTTTCAGACAATATTGTCTGGTCTTTAAACAGACATTTACTAGCACCTATTATGCCCTCAGGTACATAGAGAAAGAGAAAAGAGAATAGTGTACAAGCAAGCACTTAGTCTAATTTAGGTCTTGCAGACTTGTGAAGTGCTGGCTCCTATTTTGCAGATTAGAAAACTGAGGCTCACTGAAGTTAAGGAATTTGCTCTAGGGCACTTAGCTTTTATTGCTGGTAAGGGGCAGAACAAGGATTTGAAAAGAGAATGTTCTGACTCAAAAATCCACTCTCTTACCATTTGTATTTTCTCAAAGACCCTGATTTGTAATAGGGAAGGTATGTACATACACAAGTGTAATCCTGTATGAAAGGTGATTGCTGTCTCAGGGGAGGTGGATATAAGGAATTTTCAGTAAGGAAAGATTACTTCAAACTGGATTTTGAGGAGGGTGCATAGGCAGGAATGATTCAAGCATTCTAAGAAACAGTCAATTGTAATCTTTTACAAAAAAACAGAGAAAAGTGAGTTAAGAGTTTTCTATGCATTAGGTAATGTTTGGAGAATATAAAACAAATTTAAAAATAAAGAGTATAGTCCCTCAAGTAGAAAAAAATGAAGAAAAGGTCAGATTAGGGCCAAATATCATAAACATTGGATTACAAAAAAATGCAAAATGTCTGTACATTTCAGATCAAAATCACATTAGCACTGTTACAAGGGGAAGGTTATTTGATAGTCATTTATTTAGTATAATAAAGGTGTCACTTATTTAACATAATAAAATACAACTTTATTAAACTTGTTTTCCTTCTCTAAAGAGTTTCAGTGTCTAATCCCAGCATCATCACTCAGGCTTTACCCTTCCAAAATGGAAGAATTCAGGCCCACTCATTTTCCTATGTGGGGGCTTTTCCAATGATGTCTTTGATGTTCTCCAGTCTTGATATTTATATTTCTCTGGCTAGTTCCATTAGAAAATGGGACAATATATGGCTATATTTCTGGGACCCTATAGAAAATTGAATTCATGGATACCTAGTTTATCTCTGTTATTGTACAGTAGACACCATTATAGAAGTTGGATTTTTAATTTCTTTCTTGAAATACTTGGGGAGAAAGCCACATTCACTGTGACATACTTTCGCTTTCTCACGTCTGACACATCAGCTGGCTTTTCTGGGTATAGTGGCAGTAAAGTCAGTAGTGGATTCCTAACTACCACGTGTGTCATATGTCATACCCCTGCTTCTCCTTCTGCTATGCAGAATTATACTATTCAACAAGAAGTTGTTTTAGTTGCTTAGCATTGTTTGTGACTCAGCCTCTCAGACTCAAGAGTAGCCCAAGTCCCTGAAGCTGCCTACCAAAGAGGTTGCTCACTCCGTTGCACATATTGTCCATTCATCAAAGCTGACTTTCAATGACTCTGCTTTCAATAAGTTTATTCTTTCTGATCCTCTTTCACAGTTTGGTAAAACTTTAATTTGGTTGGTCTGTAGCTTGATGCCTATATTAATTCATCTCTTGTCAGTTTCTGTAAAGGCCTCTTGGCTTTTTAAGTTTCAGTTCTGTTTCTTTGAAATTAGGAACATATTGTTGGAAAATTTCCATACCATCCAGAACTAATTCAGCTAGAAGCTCTGTGTTTACTGTGAAAATCTGAATGACCTTGGGCATAGGTTGGTGATGCATTTGTCTTTATCAGCCCTGTGGTCCTCCATAATGTGATACCACTTTTGTAAATCTGTTCATGATCACAATTATGTCTCTGTGGTGTGTGCTTTTCCATGTGGCAAATTTTAACAATGTTCATAACCTTTTTGGATTGAATATTATTTCAAATTTAGTATTTTATATAGTCACAATTTACTGATAGGAAACGACATCTACAGAGGTTAAGGTGGCTTACCCAGTATCACAATCTTAATTATTGGTGAGGTTAGAGTAAAAACTCAAAGCCTTCCTGACCCCTCATAATCTCATCTTTTTCCAGTGTAAAATAGTGATGCTAAATTCTGGACCCATTAGACTACATAGAGTCAGCTGGATGACACTGTGCCTGCTATTCCATCTTCCTTCACTCTATCAGTGATAGATGATGATTCAGGGAAGGCATCATCCATCTTCACTAAAACAACACTTTGAGTAGCCTTAGGATTTCTAAGAACTTGGAGCAGCTGAATTCACACAGTAGCTACAAATGCTGAGTTTTTCTCATGTTTTTGACTCTTTTTCTGGGGTCTTTTAAAAGCACCAGAACACTTGATGTTTTTTAACGTTTATCTCATATCTAAAGTTCAGCAATGATTGTATCCGTTGTGGATTTAAGCTGCACTGTGCTCTTCAGAGTGCAGTGTTCTAAGGCTAACATGGAAATATCACACTACGCAGTTGTCTGCGTTGGCAGCCAAGAGATACCTTACTACTTAAATGTGATTAGATGAGAAGGGGAGAATCTTCAAAACCTTTGGAAATTTACTTTTTGTGTAACTATGAGACCCCTATGACAAGTCACACAGCAGTTACTAGAGGTAGAATATGATAGATAGTATTCTGACAGTAACAGATTTGCAAAGCACAAGTTTATAAAGCACTTTCACATCTATTTATCTCATTTCACATCTTTTAATGTCAATTCACCACAAAATAGTTAAGGATAGAAAACTTCATGTTGCAGAACTTTTTTCTTCATACATTAAAAACCAAGACTCACAACTTACAGATAAATATTAGCTTTCTCCTCTGCCAAGATAAATTCTTTTGTTAAAATTTTGTGAAAATAAAGTTATTATTTACAGTCATTTAAGCTTTTCTACATCTTATTGTTTTTCCTATTTTATTTCTAAGTTCTCTGTCAAAAGTTTATTCTTTTCTCCTTTAGTGGCTTTGGGTGTACCACTGACAGAGTCCATTGTTCATCCTTCCTAAATAGTGTACATATTTTAAAGATTCTGACCGGATTTTTTTTATTTTAAAATTTATAACATTATTGTCTAATTATAAAACAATGCATATTTATTATAGAAAATTTGGATGATACACAGAATCTTTAAAAAATCAAAAATAAAAATCAACTGTAATCTAATCAGCAAGAGATAACCATTGTTATCACATTTTACTTCACACTTCTGCAGATCAAGAGTGAACAATCAGAAAACAGTAATGCTAGAGAAGCAAATCAACACATCTACAGGACACACTCATGTAACCTATGGAGATAAGGGGAGGGGCCAGCCTCTGCAAATGAGATGGATCTATAGTTCTCGTTACTGGGAAGAGAGGGAAAGCTTTTCCATCACCTCTTGGTAACTGCATTTTTTTACTAGTCGAGCTTCTAGAAGCTGTTACATAGGTGGCTAATTTTAGAGTCATTTGCCTCATATAATAATTTTTAAATGTATGAATATGCACCTAATTCTTAATTCTCTTCTCTATCCTTGACCTGTATCAGGCTAGTTGCACAATATTGAACAAACAACTCTGGACTCTTCACTAGATCATACTAGGATTCCTGCAGAGTTCATTTCACCTCTTAAGCCAAGTCTGTTGGCAGATGAACCTGCCCAGACCTTATGTTCCTTAAAGAGTTGGATCTTCTGTCTCCTACAGTTTAGAAAAATAGGGTAGAATATACTTTAATTATTTGACATCATTTCTCAATGAGGATAACTTGGGAGTACAGCTTACAACTTGTAATGGGTGAAGTAATACAATGCTTTCCTGCTAGTTGTCCCTGCACTCTAGAATAAAGAACAGCCAATTAATCGGGAAGAAAAACAACAACAACAAGCTCCACATTCATCCCATGCTTATCTAAGTCCATTGCTACAGAGGCAGCTATGAGACACTGAATTACTTGGAACTTCCTAAATATCTCACTTTCTTTAGTCCCAAAGAGATTTTTTTTTTAAAGTCATCCCCTTATTCCTGTTGTAGAGAATGCTGATTTCCTCTAATATCTATCCCTCCTTTCTTTTTATAATAAGTCTGATTTTTAGCTGGACATATTGCTGCTCTCCAGTATAGGCCACATTTTCTAGTTTTACTTGGCAGTGAGGTGTGGCCATGCAGATTTAATGGCTAGAGCTCTAGTGGCTTTTCAGTACCTTGAGGACAGGGGACTGCACTCTAGGAATGATAGGGCTGAGAGCTAGGACACAGATAACTTCGTCAAGGTA